GCTCTTAGAGAAGAGGGTCATAATAATTACAGGCGCTGACGTAGTTGGTCTGCGGGCACTACGCCGCACCTCTGTGTCTTTTCACCAGAAAAGGCTAAGGGCAAAAGTGCATGAGACCAGAGTTGCCGACTGGTAGTTGTGCAGAGAGCACCCGACTGGTAGTTCTGCAGAGAGCACTTAGTCCTCACTAAGCCTTATTTCTGATCTGGGGAAGGAATACGCAAGCGCTGAAGGGGGTGGTACACCAAGTTACGTTATCGCCGAATATTTTCTGGCGCACCCCACCCACTTTATAGCGATTCTGCTATGGAGAATTGGTACAACTAAGCCCACAATTACCAGACTTTGTAGAGCCTGCTTTAAGGTGAAATCTAGGGTGAAATCTAGGGGTGAAAGAATCTATGTGTCATTCAGGGCACGTCCTGCCGCTGGGAAACTTTTCGGAAAAAGCGACCCGCCCCTATTTCCATCCCCTGATACGACCTCCCTTCCCTATCCTACCTACCACTTTTCCACCTTCCCAGATTTTCCCATTTTCTACCATTTTTCCCAGTTTTTCCGGAATTTCCCGAGAATTTTCTAGTCTTCTCCCCAGGATCGCTGACGATCGATAGAGGGAGGGGGTCGTCGCAACCAACTACTGGTTCCAAATTCGGAAATCACAAGTAGTGGTTGTATAGAACTTTGGCGGCGACACCAACTACGGGCGGAGGAGGGGTATGAATCACATGTGCACAGAGGGCCAAAGGACAAATACGACCGCCTCTCCCCCAACAACGAGAATCGACCCATCCAGGCCTATAGCGTTTGTAATGCAAGAAAAACCAATTATCAAAAAAAATTTCTCAGACCAAATACGAGCCCTCTCGCTTGGGACTCCCCAACGTACGACGTGGTCTGGTGTCATTATTGCGATAAAAGGTGGCCTAGAAGGAGTCTTATCGCCTACTAACCTCAAGACATGAATTGGCATCACTCAGTTATGGGGGAGAGAAACAGCCATCGCTGTTGCATGTGTGTATTTGTTTGCGCTGGCTGTTGTGTGTAAACCAAAATGTGGCCAGTCTCACCGATAGCGGTGGTCTTATCGCCACATGCCAACAAAAAAACCCCTTCAGTAGAGCGATTTCCTTCAGCCATTCAATCATTGCTGTCATTCATTCGTAATTCCGTGGTTTAAGAACTTCTTGTACAGAGTCCTTTGGACCTCGTAAGTTTTATACAATCGTCTGCGAGAAATGTGTGGGTGAATAGACTGCTAATCTGGTTCCACTTGTAAGAAACCAATCTTCAATCCAATTTCCTACAAATGTTGCAGCCACCACTGCTAAACACTAATGAAATTTAAATGAGTGATGCCTTTGTTCATGGGTTTTTTTGGTAGTTGTCACGCCCTACTGTTAATTGTGTAATGGCTAGAGACCTCCAACGATTCTGCACTCCTCTAGCTTCTTCGCGCATTTCCATATTAATTGCCTTCTTAAAAATTCGTGACAGCGCGTTCATACTTCGCGATCCGACCGCTTGGATCACGCTACAGCGGCAGAATTCAGATTGGGCCAAGTTGATGCACTTAACGATCGCCTTGGGACAACTAATACTTTTTCTCTGGGTCTCATTTGTTCAGGTGGGGTTACAACACATCTGTCAACGGAATGCTCAATCGCTTAAGGGTCCAGAGGTGTTTTCTCATCGCGCCTTATGTTCGAGCACTCAAAGCAATGAAAATAAGCAAGGATA